ATCCAATTAGTCCAGCTCCACTGACTTAAATGACTAGCCTTCCCCCAGAGCACTGCATTGGGACCTTTGTTGTAAGCCAGGTGACCCTAAATGTATATGTATGACCATATATATATGTCTGTCTGTCTGTCTGTGGACTCTTTGTTCCATTAGTCTGTCTGTTCTTGTACACAAATCACACTATCTTAGTTATTATGGCTTTACACTTGGCCTTGCAATCTGGCTGTGAATGTCCTTCAAATTTCTTCTTCTGGTTGGCTTTGGCTGTTCTTGGCTCTTTGATATTCATACATATTTTAGAATCAGTTTGCCAATTTCCATTTACAAAAGCCCAGCTGGGATTTCAACGGGGATTAGATTGAATCCATAGATCATTTTGATGAGAAATCTCTCTTTGATTTAATTTTTACAATACTGTCTTCTAATCCATAAATATGACCTATCTTTGATTTGTCTGGGTCTTCTTTAATTTTTTCTAGGAAATGTTATGCAGATTTCTGGGCAGAGGCCTTGTGAATCATTTATTAGATTTGTTCCTAGGTATTTGATGTTTTCTGATTCTACAGTAAATGGCATGTGAAAATGTTTCTTTATAATTTTTGATGCTGATACTTAGAAATACAACTCAATTTTCTAACATTGACCTTATATCCAGCGATCATGCGAAATTCATTTATCAATTCTAATATTTCATACATACATTCTTTAAGTTATTTTCTGTACACAATCGGTTGTGTCTCTTATGTTTTTAAGAGCTGAGAAACCTTTCCCTCAAGACCTCAAAGCGACTTACATTTACATCTCATTAACTACAACTGGGAAATGTCCATTCGCAAACCAGTCACTGGAGTGGTAATGAGATTACTATGACCTGGTTAGTCAAACACATTGCCCTTTATATACCAGATACATTGCATTATGATTATGATGCCACAATTTTTCTTTATTTTGACCAAATATATAAATATTTATAAATTAATGTTTTGATTAGAAGGTTGAGAATCAGGAGATAGAAGATGATGGATTGGTATGTGTGGAATACTCTTCCATGTAAATGAGTTGAAACTACAATTCTTAAGTTATATAATTTCTTAAGCAATGACTAGCATGTTTCATATGTGAAAAACACTTGTAGCTGTGGAAGAAGAATGAACTTTTACAATGAATTCATTTCAAAAAATACCCTTTTTGCTGTTTATAAAGCACAAAATTATCATAGAAAATTTAACACATACACATATCAAACTTCTAATAGTTATCAATCACTGGTAGGATGGATTGTGATTTAAATTTTGTCTTAAACTTTTCTGAATTATCTAAATGCTCTACTGCAGGGTTTGCCCAACTCCACACTCTCGGCATTTTCGGTCAGATAATTCTGTGTTGTCGGAATTGACAATGCTCTCCAGTGCACTGAAAAGATTGAGAGCATCCCTGGCCTCTACATACGAGGTGCCAGTAGCACCTCTTCCTCCCCAGTTGTGAGAGTTTTCAGACGGTTTCAAATTTCCCTCCCCCCGGGGGGGTGGGGGGCGTGTGGGCAAAATGCCCCTGGTTGAGAACAACTGCATTATAGTAAAAGGAATTCTAATACATGTAGAAAGCTAGGGGGAGATGTAAAAATAAATACATAGGTAGATGTAAATATAGATCAGTAGATAGAGTAATATCGTGGTTTTTTTTTTTTGTATAATATCATAGCCATTTTCCCAAGGCATTAACATTTTTTCAAAAACATCCTGTAAAAGCTGCTTAAGTTCATTCCATGGACATTCAGTATCCTATTGGAAACCAAAGTTGTTTCAGATTATTTAAAATAAATGACAGTTAATGATCACCTTTGAGCATATAACCTTGTGAGTATATATGAGTATCTCTTTAGAAGTAATGCCTAGAAGAAAAATTGTAGCGTCAAATGAACAGGTTTAAGACTTATTTTATAAGTATCATCACCTTTCCATCTGGCAAGACGCTATGAATTTATAACCCCATCCAGTAGTATAGAAGATAGCCTGTTTCTTTTTACAACAGCTTAAAACCTAATTAAACATTAAAATTGTTTTAAAAATGCAAAGGGCTCTACTTTTTTCTGAATACAAGAATAATGTATGCTCATCGAAACATTCAGAAGACAAAGTCTGAGAGAACAAAACTCACCCTTCCAGGTTTTCTTTTCTATGAGCACATACATACATAAACACTATCTCTTAAACAGGAGCACTGGGAAAGAGAAAGGAGAGGGCACTGAAGACACACCAATGGAGTTAAAGAGAGGGACTTCCTTAGCATAAAGTTTGAGATCTTAGGGAAGAGCAAATCAAGAAGTGGAAGATTTTATATATATATACACATACAAATCCTTTAAAGAGAGCCAAGACAGATGGGGGCGTTTTAGCTATTACTAAGTCAAGGATCCTGACTAAGGCCCAGAGATTCTAGAAAGGAGGAAAGGAAAAATCTCAGAGAATAAAGTGAAATGACTGCCAAGAGGAAAACTGGATCCATGAAACTGGTGAAAGTTGACCTACAGAATTAAGAGAATGGCTATAAGTTGGGGTTCATACCCCTAAATGACGAGGACAACTGCAGAGGGCGTAGCGGCTAACATGGTCAGAACAGGATCACCAATTCCCACTGTCTCTGATATTCAAGCCTTGCCTGTTCCAGGAAGTGACACCACCATCCACCCAGATACTATGGCCAAAATCTAGGAGCCATCACTGATTGCTGTCCTTCCCTCAGGACCTCACAGTCACTCAAGTTTTCCCGGCTGATGCCCCAGACATCGTGGAGCAGAGACAAGCCATTCCTGCTCTACCCTACCTGAATTCTACCTCTACAAAATCCACGAGCATCATAAAATGGATGTTGTTCCGCAACACTATATCATGGAGTGGTGGATGACCAGAACACCTTCTATTCACTTATTCTTCATTTAAGCCATCCTGTACTTCCATCAGCCTTTCGTTTTCCATATTCCATTTTTATTCAATTCTGACTCCATCCTTCATAACCTTGTATTCTGTATTTCATTCCATTCTTTTATGGTATTTTTAAATTTATAGCGCATATTTCATAGTCCATTTATTTCAGGCCATCACATACTTTATTCCATTCTATAGTCATTTCTATTTCAATTTCAATTTTCTTCAGTATTTTATGTCACACTATACTCCATTTCACTCCTTTTCTCATATAACATTGTATTTTTCTTTTATTCCATATGCATTAGATATTTATTTCCATTTTGCACTCCATTCCACTTTCCCGTTATATTCCATTCTATTTTCCATTCCATATCCCGCTCAAGTCCGTGTTCCATTCTCCATTTTATTCCAGTTTCCACTACAATCAGTCTCCATTTCATCGCATTCTGAATCGATTCCATTTCAAATCTGTTTTCCACTCCATATTATTTAATACTCCTAATACCATTCCATTCTATTTTTGAGTTGCATATCAGTCCAGTTGCTCATCCATTCCACTAAATAATCCCATTCCATTCAGCCAAAATTGCTATAACAGCCACTTTCAGGAGAACCACTTGGTGACATTTTTATTAAAGAAGTACAAATGTGCATGGTCTGTACCAAGAATTTCCTCTTCTGGGAATTTATCCAAAAGAAGGTCACATTTGGGGATATGAACAATTTTTAGCAAAAAGGATATGTCTCACAACGATGTGTTATAGAGAGTGAAAAGTTAGAAACATATATGTTTATCAATACAGCAATGTTTGAAAATGTAAGCTTCCTCCATAAAAGGAGTATTTTGTGGTTACACAATGGTCTTGTGGAAATTTATTTACTGACACGGAAAGTGTGTTTTCTGGACCCAACAAGCAGGTTACAAAACTATGTATGCATAAATAATGTCACTTTTATAAAACGAAAGAAGTATGAATTATTTACGAGTGGCCAATCTAGCAGAAAATAATTAAACATTTCCAGTACTTGCCTGTGAGTACCTGGGAAATTTAGGTTCTAGTTTTCCTACATTTGCTTTTCTGTTTTGGGCACTAAACCTGCAGTAATAATGACTTTTGTAATAACGACTAAAAATCAGTGTCCAGATATTGAACTTCAAGCGTGTGCATCACAGCATATTTATAGTGACATCACAGAGACAACTGTAACCAAGAATGGAGACTGGGTCAAATAAATTAATGAACATTCATCAGTGGATGACGATGCAGCTCATAACAAATGACAAAGCATATTTAAGGACAGTATCCCCCTAATCCCAGGCATTATTCAGGGTCTGTATTCAGGGGCAAGTCAAGGAGAAACATCTTACTGGAAAATTCTAAATCCCCCTCTGGTGCGTGGCAGTAGTGCTGAACATTCCGAGCCAGGACATTATGGGCCCCATCCCTTTTCTCGCCTTCGGGCCACTCTCCAACCCTACAGCCCACCAGACCCCCGAGTGGGGTCATCCAGATACCCGGAGGAGTTCCGGGACCATCCCTTCTGGGGTCACACATGGGCCCAGTGTCCTGACCAGACTCCAGGAGGGGCACCTGGCTCGGGGCTATCTCCTGTTGGCCAGCATGGTATTTCTTTCAAGCCATCTCTTGAGATTGAGCCACCAGAGTGGTGCTGACAAGCTGACTCAAATGGTTTATATACACAGCCTTGCCGCCGCCGGTGCCGCCGCCGCCCCTGGAAACACACACACACACACCCCGACAAGACACACAGACAGACAGGCACACACACAGTCACACACTCGCTCGTAGGGGCCCAGGTGAGGCTGGGGAATTCCATCATGGACCTGGCCAGGCCGACCCCAGACTGGGTGCAGCACACCCCCCTGTTGCGCACCAGATGGAGCTGGGTTGGCGCGCTCCGGGAAGACGAGAGTCATGTGATAACCAGCTCACCAATCAGAGGTGAAGACTTGACCGGCCCCGCCCACCCTCCTGGCTCCACCGGCCCCGGGCTCAACCCAGGCAGCGTCTGTAGCCGAACTCTCCTGTCTCTCAACGAGAAGCTGGCACGATGGCCACCCAGTCGTGCTGGGAGAAGGAGCAGCAGCCACAGCAGGGTGAGGTGCCCCCAGAGCCCAAGAGCAAGGTAGCCCCTGCCCCTGGCCAAGCCCGCGGCACCGGCAATCCCGGTGCTTCGGTTCCCGCAGCCTCCAGCGACCCGTGTCCGCCGGGTGGCGGCGCCCCGCGCGGTGGTGCAGCAGGTTCCTCCTCCTGTGCCACGGCCTCCGCCGGCGCCATTTCCGTCACTGCTGAGGACCCGTGGCTGCCCTCCATGGACTGTGTGCAGGAGAGGGGGCCCTCCGACCTCCAGGGCGGCCAGAGTCCCCATGCAGGGCCGAGCTGTGTGGTGCCTGAGGCAGGCCAAGGTATCCAGTCCGTGCGCACGGGCAGCACGGCGGCCATGGGGCAAGCCACGAGGGTCGCTGGCCGGGCCAGCCGGCCTCCGACCCACACCACGAGCCCAGGCGACGGCCGTGGGAGGAAGCAGCCCAGCCGCGAGGAGGCTGCCCAGGCTCAGAAGCCTCCAGAGCGCTGTCTGTTTCCTGGGGCTCCCGGGCCTCGGTGGTCTGAGCCTTTGCCGCAGTCTTCTCCAGAGTCTCAGCCCAGCAGCAGCGGCCGTTCTCGGGCTTCTCCGCGGAGTCACGCATCCCCGCTGGGCCCTGCTCTGCGCAGCCGCACCACCGCGCCAGGCCCTGCTCTCCGCAGCCGCACCA